AAAAGTGTGCAAAATTAAAAGAAATTTATGAAAAATACCGTTATGTCACTCATACTCAGATTTGGACAAACAATTTGTCGTGTAAAGTATATAGCTATTTAATTCCTAAGGCTGTGCAGTAGGCGTCGTGGTGTAATGGCTAACACATCAGTCCGAACTTTGAAGATGCTGGTTCGCTCCCAGCCGCCGAATAACCTTTTGCACTAGCTAAAGGAGAGAAATAGCTATAGCCCTGCTGCTTTACTGTCATTCGAAAGAGAATCGACGAGCTGACTCGATTGACGCCAAAATTTTAGCGTAGGGCTCATATATGGGCCGAGATACATGCCCTTGAAAAGTGAAAAGCATTATGGTGGATAAGTTAATTTTTGGGGTGAAAAATTCCGGTACACCTCAATTGAGTCCCGACTCGATTGAGTCCCGGACCCTATAACTTATGAAGGGATGGTCACCTTTTGTTACTCTTGGTACCATTGGATAGGGCATTAAATAGGCTATAATATACAAAAAAATCAAAATTCCTGACCGACTGGTAAAAAAGTTATGATCGATAAAGTGCCGAAAAATCAGATTTTTTTGAAAAAGTTAGTTTTTAAATCATAACTTTTTTATCAATCAACCAAAAATTTTGATTCTTTGGTATATTGTAGGCCATCTAATGCTCTATCAAATGGTACCAAAATCAATGAAAATTATCAATCCGTACTTGAGTTATAGGGCCGGGACTCAATTGAGCCGGGACTCAGTTGAACTGCTCCGGAAAAATTCGAGTCGAATGATACCAAAATCAACGTGATCAACCACCTTCGATTTGGACAATCGAAGTATACAATACAAAAATAGCCAATTACATGCCAGTCTCTATTATGTATAATGCCAGTTTCGAAGGTGATTGAAAATGCCATGGCATTCTAATAGAGAAAATACGATATCTAATAGAAAATCTGAACTCTTTAATTGAACGTTTTAAATAATTAATACATTCTTGTTTAAAAAATATTTTTTATTAAAGGCACCTGGCAATTAGTCAAGAAAAAAGTACAATTTTATAAAGTTGATTGTAAACAATAATTAAATCTTTCGAATTAATTTTCTTTAAAAGTTAAAACATCTGTTGTGGTGAAAGTCTTTAATAAATTTTTAAAAAATTTTTCTTTTATTTCTTTGAAAAATATTTTATTTTATTCGTATCCTTTGGCACAGACTGCTTGACGTCGTTTTTGTTTTTACAATTAAAAAGAATAAAACTTTATTAGACTTTTGTAAAACAAAAATTAATGTTTTAAAAACCTAGAAATAAACTTGTTTTCAAACAAACATTACCCTACAAAATGTTTTAACCTAGAAAAACATGTTAACAAACAAACATAATTTTTGTAAAACATGTTTTAAGAGTTAGAACTTGTTTTCAAACAAACATTTCTCCTAAACAATGTTTTGGAAACTTAAAAACATTGTTTTCCTAGAAACCCTTAAAATATTTTACTTTAAAACATTATTAAAACATTGATTAAAACATAAAAACTTTTACAAACATTGGTTTATTAAAAACATAAAAACATGTTTGTCTTTAATCTGAACATTAAAACATGTTTTACAATTGCTAAAAATGATATTAAAACATATGTTTTTCTCAAACATTTAAAAATATCAAAACATGCAGTAAAACAAAGTTACAAATTTAGGTAAACATAATGTTTTACTGTATGTTTTAATGTTTGTTAAAAAATGTTTGGGGAAAAACAAATGTTTCAATAGCATTTTTAACAATTGTAAAACATGTTTTACAATTAAAAAGAGTTGAGATTTGACCACTTTAAAGAATTTTTTTAAGAAAACATGTTAATAGGAGAAATATATTCAACAATAATTTATTGTTTTGCAACATTTGGATTGTTTTCCAATTTGTTTTTAATTTGGCTAATATTGCGTTATACAATGAAAGAAATGCAAGTTTATAGCAAAATACTTTTACAAACTTGTTTTGTTGATATTGTTGGGATTTGTATGTTTGTTGTTTCTCAACCGGTAAATATTTGGGCGGCGAAGCTTTTTGGCGTGACTACCCATAATTATGCGCCTAAATACATAGGACATCTACTTAAAATAAAATTCATCTTATTAAAAATAGGTTTTTGTGTCTGATAATGGTATCGGCACAACTTGGAATTACGGACCTATACATTTCCTACCAAATCCTTGGCAATTTATACTTCTCCGTATTAACAATTTTACGGCAAGATTTAGCTCAATGAATGTCTGCACATTATTTATTTATCGTTATCTAGTGGTTGTACGGTAAAACCTCTTTAAAACATTTAAAAATCAAGACTTATGATTTAGCGAAGTTGATATTAAATTTAAACACCAATTATTATTAATTTTTGGTTCGATAATTCCATTAATAATTTTAAATATTTGTTCTTCTATATCAAACTATCCAACTTCAGAAGACGAATATTTAACAAATTATAATGTGACAAAACTATTAGAATTGGATAATTATACAATTAATAATTATGTTGTTGGACTCAAAGTAAGAGTAAGTTGTATGTAAATTTGTTTCCCAACAAGGAGGGGGGGGGGGAATTAGGAAAAATTTTTTTGCGCAAGTTTTGACACGGGGGAGTGTGGAGGGAGGGGGAGTTACAAAAAGTATCAAAATCCCGACTTTTGTGGACTGGGAAAAACTCTATTAAAGTTATCTGATCAGACTAGACATGAAGACAGTCGGCTTGAGTGTAGACGGAACAAAAAATTAACCCGGAGAGACCTCCACTTTCCTTGAGTGCCGAAAATTGGGCTCTGGAAAATTGGGCTCCAAGATTTTTCGGAAAATTGGGCTCCAGCGGAAATTTGGGCTCTATGAGAAAAAAACGGAAAATTGGGCTCCAATTTTTTAGGCGCGGGGAATTGTGGGCGTCGGAGTTAATTTTTGGATTTTTCCGAAAACTGACACAAAATTTAACAACCTAGACTTATGGGTGTCGGCGAGGCGCTTGTGCAAAATCCCGCGCTTCGCGCGGGATTTTGCGGCACGCGCCTCGCGGGAGTCAACGGTCGCTGGGTTCTACAACAGCACATAAACCTATTCCTTTTACTGATTTTCAGCTTTGAAATAACGACCTACCCACTAATTATCAGCACAAAAATAGTTATTACAGAGAATTTTGTGATATTTTTCGGAAAAATCCAAAAATTAACTCCGACGCCCAAAATTCCCCGCGCCTAAAAAATTGGAGCCCAATTTTCCGTTTTTTCTCATAGAGCCCAAATTTCCGCTGGAGCCCAATTTTCCGAAAAGTTGGAGCCGAATTTTCCGAAAAATCTTGGAGCCCAATTTTCCAGAGCCCAATTTTCCGGACACCCTTTCCTTGAAGAATTCCCTTCTCCATGGATCACCTCTAAAAACTCCCAATTGTCACTTGAAAATTTATATTTAAAATTCAGACTAATAATCTATCAATTTTTATTTCAAATTATGCTTCAGCATTAACTATAATTACTTACATAATAATTATTTTTTGTGGTATAAGTATTCAAATACATGTTTATCGTCATTGCAAAGGTGTAGAAATGACTCGAATACGTAATATGAATAAACAATTAAGTATTGCTTTGGGGGCACAGGTAATGTGGGACATACCCAAAACGGCGCGCGGCCATAACGGCGCAAGGCCATAACTTGCTTCAAGATTTCCTAATCTTAACGAGTTTAGTTTAAACGATTCCTCTCATCGAGCTAAGGAGATTGGTACCAAAATTGATAAAGGCCAGACATTTTCCACCAAGTTATGGCTTTGCGCCGTTATGGCCGCGCGCCGTTTTGGGCTGTACCCAGGTAATGCACATATAACCTGGTACTGGTCACATAATTTAGAATCAAATTGTAAATTATCCATTTTCGAATAGATTGGCCAAGAAATTATCGAATATTCGATCGAATCTCGAAAAATTTACCAAATCCTCAAGTACTGAGGATGTGGAGGGATTAAGTGGGATATACCGTATAACCTGTATTAAATGCCCTCCCTTAAATAATTACCCCATCCAGCGATAGATTGAAACAATAATTACCCCCAAACAAAGGCCCTAAAACACGTTGAAATTTCAAACTTCATGTAATTACCCTCTCTCGATTTATTACTCCCTCCAGCGGAAGGTCAAAACAATAATTACCCAGGGTAGTTAGTAAAGGATATACGGTAGGTTGATCTCAAGGATTTAGGAGACTACTCATTTTTAGAATACGGCCCCAGCCCTTCTCTTTAATGTTCAAATTTATAGGCTATTCTACCTATATTAACCTACGCTTCTACATTATTCGCCAATTTAAATTTTTTATTTAATTTGCCTGGTTTATTTTCATCAACTATTATAATCTTTTTTACTAATAGTTTTGGATCTTTAGTTACTGTTTTAAACCCTATTGTAAGTTAATTTAATATTTTCAAACTTTGAAAAAATAAATTTAAAAGGTAACAATTTTGAGTGTAAGAAGCTACAGACAAATAATTTTTCGATGCAAAAATAATTCAAATATTAATCAAATTGCTCCAATGCCGGAAACTTCAATGCCTGATAGAACTATACAATACATTAAATAATTAAATTTTATATCGAAAAATGTAGATTTTTTTGGGGCTAAAATAAAGTTATGAAAATATTTTGTAATTCAGAAATGTATTTAAAGGATTAAAAAATAACAAATGATATATTAGAAGAAATGAGAAGGGTTAAATGATGCTCTACGTTCGATAAAAAAACCAGTCAATTCAAACATTGGGGAGAGCCTAGCCTGGGAGTGTCGTACGAGAATTGAGATCTCGAAAAAATCTTGGTAATTAAAATTTGTTACGAGATCTCGTCTCGGTCCGGGCTCTAGTTACGACAACTGGGAATACGCGATTGTACAAGATGCGACAATTGCGGTCGGCGATTACGGATATAACAATAACGGAAGACAATTCCGGATTTGGCAAATGCAGATTTAAAATTTTTTAAGCAGTATTGAAATATTATCAAGTTTTTTAGCCCTTCGAATCATTTCTTTAATGAAGCGACACCAAAACCTTAAAAATTTATGTATATCCGCAATTGTCGTATCGCCAATTGAAATGATAAAAAACAAAATTTGTTCTTTCAATTATTTAATTAAAAAACCTGAATAATTTCACTCAAAAAATATTTTTAAAAACAACAAATATTTAAAGATCAAATCGCCATTATATCCTTCAATTTTCTTCAAAATTTCCAATTAATTTGAAGGCGGTGGAGGGGGCGGCGGAGGTGCTAAAAAGATTTTTTTCGAGCAAAACTTATTTAAAATAGAAACAATTCTTACCACTAAGCGGCGGAGGTGGCGGCGGATTTGGAGTAGACATTGGAGTTGGTGGTTGTGATGGGGGTGGGGGCGGTGGAGGAATGCTTTGTCTAAATTTAAACAAAATTTTGTAAAAATAATTTAACTTTTTAAAAAACCTAGACATTGGCGGAGGCGGCGGTGGTGGAAACATATGTTGACCACCCATTCCCATAGGTGGAGGTGGTGGACGAGGAATGTGCTGCATTGGAGGCATTGGTGGAAGTCCAATTCCGCTGTGTGGGATGAATCTATAAATTAATTTTTAATTTAAAAATAAAATTTATTTTGGGTAAAAAATGAAAAATTTTGATTTTTTACTCATTTTTTCCTGTGGGGCTCGAAGAGCTAGGACTCAGAAAAAAGGAATATGTTAGAAATGTAGAGACAGAAAAACAGCCCCAAAATTAATCTCATTTAATTTAGCTACAAAAGGTAGAATGAGTTAACACCCTCTGCCTATCTCGATCAGGGGCCTATTTCAATTTTCCACAGATTTTTCTGTGGAAACATAAAAACCATGCAAAAACCACAAAATTCTATTTCAATTATTTTTCTGTGCACAGAATGCAGAATCTGTGGACAATTGAAATAGGCCCCAGCTGTGGGCCCATAAAATTCGAAATCCCCCAAAAAATCTTTTAAATTAAAAAAATAAACAAACCCCATTGCCATTCCCGCAGGTGATATATGCATCGGTGGCGGTGGAGGCATCATTCCCGGAGGCATTGGTGGCAATCCTTGCGGTACTGAAGGTGGTGCTGGTGGCGGAATTGGCATTGGTCTTAAAAATATATAAAAATAAGATAAAATTAAAAATAACCAAATTTTAGAAGGTAAAAGGAAAATCAAAAAATAAAATTCACCTTAGCCTCATAAAACCTTTCCTAAACCCAAATAAAGAAAACCTCAATCCCGGCACATCAGAAAATATCTGATGAGGTCTGTCATGTAGAAACAACGGATTTTGTGATGCCAATAGACGCTCTGCAGCAGTTCCGTGTCGTTCACCTTTTGTGTCCTTTTTGAAAGCATAAGAGCATGTAATAGGTCGATTACAAAGAAATTGGCCATTCATCGCCTCCAAGGCTAAAAATAAATTTTAAAAATTTGAAATAAAATAAAGAAGGCTCCATAAAAGTAGGTACCAAGAGCGTATCCAGAGGGTAGATTTCGGTTTTTTTTGATTTCCAAAATTTTGGTGCTCACTTTGACGTTCCTAACACACATTTTTTGTACATAAATCATCCTTCTCATAAATGTTTCCACCTTTGCCCCATTTCGGGGGGGGGGGGGCTTCAACCCTCCTGAATAAGCCCTTGGTATTTACAGAAAAAAATGTAAAGATGGATTAAGCTCAAACCATAACCAGGAGATAGCCCCCCCCTGTAAAAAATTTGGTTACGGGCCTGATTCAGATTTTCAAACAATTAACAAAAGTGGTCCTAGCAAAGGCCAATTTTCTAGAAAACTGGTCTGATTCAAGGAAATTAGCTTGTGAATACGCCCTAGACAAGTGGAAAAGTTGGGAGGGTACTAGAAAGAAAAATAAAAATAACCAGCATCAGAAGCCTCAAAAGACGCAAAATTAATAAAAGCAAATCCTTTGCTAGATCCAGATTCAACATCACGCATAATTTTGGGCGGCTAATAAATTTAAATATTTAAGAATTAATTATTCAAAAAAACCTGTAAAATAACACCAAAAGCGCTAAAAGTATCGAACAACAATTTTTCGTCAACTTCAGCAGCTAAATTACCAACAAACAAATTAGCACCAACATCCATTTGTTTTTCGTTTGCAGAAGCTTTATTAACTGAAATGGAAAGAGAAAATTTTCTTTTTAAAATAAAAATTATTTTTTGAAATAAATCCTAATTCTGAGAATATGTAAAAAAGGGATCGCGCTGACCCGATTCACGAAAATCGGGAATTCCCGTAGATTCTGAGCTCGTGAATTCACGATTTACAAAAATCGAGAATTTGGTTTTCTGTCGGCGCAATCCCTGTTGTAAAATCCAAAATCAAACTAAAAAGTGAATAAATTTAGGTAATGACTATTTTTTGGTTTTTGAATTAAGTCTCGTTTGTTCCAACGTTTTTTTACAAAAATTTAAAGTTGTATGGGGTTAATATCTGCTGTAAAACTTGTTCTTCAAGTCTATTCAGTTGTACAAAATATTTAGAATATCATAGAAATAAAATATAAGAGAAAACAAACGAAAATTCTAAAAATCTCCCTAATACTTTGGCCTCCTTTTCCTCTCAATTTTTTCCATTGTTTTTTGACCTTCTTCCTCATTTTTTCTTCACCTTTACGAAGAGGAATAACCAAAAGGCTTCCTCTACCAAGAGGAAAAAATGTCATAAAAATAACGAAAAAAAGGGGGGGGGCGTCAGTTAGTATTTTCGTCAGCACCAGAAATCGAGCTGGGCCTGGACAAATGCCTGAGGTTTTTCCTGAATTACAGGCCCAGGATTCGGTACAGGTCAATAAATCGAACCCAGAACCCAGGAACACCCAGACTTCTCAAAAATCTCGATCTCTAGCCAGCTCAATTTCAATTAAAAACTCAAACCTTTAATCGGCTTCCCAAACAATTTAATCATATTCATAATTTTAATAGCATAATCGGCATCCTCCTCACTCATAAATTCAATAAAACCAAATCCTTGATGTGTTCCAGTAATTCTGTCTTTTGGCATATTTACGCTTGTAACTGGCCCCGAATTGACAAATAATTCCCAAAGAATTGCTTCTGTTACTTTTTCATCTAGACCGCCAACATAAATTGTTGCATCTAAATTTTGGAATTTTTTTTTGATTAAAATTTTTAAGGTTTTAAAAAGATGAAATAATGTAAGGATGAATCACCTAGAGCATTTAAAACGATTAGGCGGAGGTTAAAAATAGAAGCCCCGGTAGCTCAGTGCTCCTGTATGTGGTGAGCGAAAGCGACTAGCGATAACTACGAGGAGGTCGCAGGTTCGAATCCTGCCCGGTGGCCTAAACTTTTGCTAAGTTATATAGCTAGTTCAATAGCTAACAATAAGCTCTTTTCTAAAGAATTAAAAAAATTTCTGTATTTCTAATAGAAAATCATTACCTTGATTCCGTTCCAGAATAACTGCAGTCATTGAAGAATTTTATTAAAATTGGATTTCAAACGAAAATTAACCTAAAAAATAAAAAATACATTAAAAAATTTTAAAGAAAAACGAAAAATTTCCTGGTAAGAAAAACGGTGACACGACTTGGGCACAGTGATCCATTTGCACAGTAAGACTTTTGCACAGAGGACAATTACACAGTGGACAATTGCACAGTAAAGTCTTGTTTATTCGCAAAACGACCTACTCATTTATTCGCAAAACGCCTGTTTAGTCGCGAAACACTCCAAATAAACGCAAGGCTCATTCACCTATAGGTCATAACTTCGTTCAGAATCATCCAATCAAGATGATTTTGGTGTCAGCCGACTCAACTCAAACAGCTCTTTCGAATGAGCTATAATTTGCATCTTCGAATTTTTTACCCCAAAAAACCGCTTGGTTTACTATATTGTTTTTCGATTTTCGAGAGCCTATATCTCTGCAAGTTTTCGTCTCCCGCGAACAACTTTTCCAACAACGGGAAAAATTGCTTATAGAACAGGGAAAATTGTTTTTGTTTAAGAAAAACCATTTTATTATTAAAAAACTTATCAGAAAGTCTAACACAAATGCACTTAACCACAAATTACTGTGCAATTGTCCACTGTGCAGATGCCCAATGTGCAATTGTCTTACTGTGCAAATGGATCACTGTGCCCGTGTCGGAGCGCCAGAAAAACAATTTTTAACAAAATGAAACTTTAATTTAAAAATACATAATGCCAAACATTTATTTTTTTGATTGATTTTTATTTTTTAAAAATCCACGTCTTTTTCTCACTTTATCAGGATTTTTGTTAGATGCGAGAGAGTGGATGATACTACACATTATACATTTGCATATGAAACAAAAAATCCGGACAGGCCTATTTTTCACTGGTCACTAATTAAAATTTTACTTTTTTAAAGAGTTCCTACCCTCAATAATAAGCTTATATGATTTTCGGCTTGATTAGAGCTTATGATTTTCCTATCTAACAAGTTTTTCTGTTTTTGATTTAACTACAGAAACCAAATACGATCGAGACCGAGAGTCTCGACCATCAATTCTTTAAAAATAAATATGTATTCAAAAATAATAGTAGTGATGGTCGGGATTAAAAAAACCCCGAGAGTTGAAACCGAGAAGCAACCCCGAGACCGAAATCGAGACCGAGAGTCTCGACCATTATTTTTGCCTTTTAATTTTAAATTTTAAATAAAAAATCAATATGTCAGAAAGAATCCGGAAATCGAATTTTGACCATTCTATCAGATCCCGCCTAAATTTTGCTTCAAAAACAATCCTCAGATCACAGAAACCCTAAAACAGACCACACACTCCTAAAAATCGCCTAATCAAATCCAGCTCCAAACAAAATATTCCCAACATTTCCAACTTTTATTTTTTTTTATTTTAATTAAATTTTGCCTTTTAATTTTAAATTTTAAATAAAAAATCAATATGTCAGACTTCCTTTGTCTAAATTTACATTGTTGTCTCCCATCGAGAGGAATTTTAAAAATTTTTTTATGATTAACAAAGCATTTTCTTTATTCATTGTCTTGCCATTTAAATTCCCTTCCTTCATAATTTTATATATAGACAAAAATTTAAATTACCTCTTAATAAATATTAATTTTTAATAAATTGTTTAAAGTTTTATTAATTAAAAAAAATATATTTAAGTTATCGACATCAGAGGTGGGTCGGAATTCCGATTTCCGACGATTTTTTCTTTCCGATTTCCAGAAATTTAGGCTGATTTCAGATTTCCAAGTTCCAACTTTTGAGCCATTTCCGATTTCCGACAGTTCCGATTTCCGGCACCTTCATTATTTCCGACTCACCTCTGATCGACATAAAAATAAGGCAAGAGTAATTGGATCCATTTTCTCAGTTAAAAATTCTTTTAGAAACAAATTTTTTTATTTAATTAAATACTTGATTTAATTCTCAATTAGGCACTATTTGTTAGGGTTAGCTCCTATCTCGCCGGCTTCGATCCTTTCAATCTCATTCTTAGGCTCCAGTTCCAGAGTTATTCGGAACTGTTCCGAGTTGTCCACGGGCTTCGGTTTGAAGATTGCAATGTATTAGAATTATGACATATAGAAAAAGTTTAGCAAAAGTTTAGCCACCGGGCAGGATTCGAACCTGTGAACGCCTGCTACATAGTTGTTGCCAGGCGCTTTCGCTCACTATATACAGGTGCTCTACCAATGAGCTACCGAGGCATCGACCAATGCTCTCTCCTTTCCCTTTTAAATCTCTTAACCCCTGCCTAAGCGTTTTAAATCTCTAGGTGAAGCATCCTTTTAATATTTCCACCAGTCGGATTCAACTATACGACATTCAACAGTATAACATTCCCTTCTTCCGAGAGATTCGGAGATTCAATTAATTAATTTAAGGGTTAAAAATGCTCTTTATTTTAATTTTTCTTGTAACAAATTTATTTTGTTTAAATAAAATTTCTGCAATTAAACAACAACACGTGGAAAAAATAGCAGATTTTCTTTTGGTTAATGAAAACGTTAAAACAAAAGTTTATGTTGAAGGTTGGAATACTGAAAGAGGAATAAGCATAAATGTGGCAAAGAATTTCGAAATTGGTTTGAATGAAATTGAAAAAACTATGAGTGATAGAAAAGAGTTTGAAGATTTTTTAGAAAATACAAAAAATTTATTTAGATCCGGGGATGATGGGCGTGTTTTGATTGTTAAAAATATTTGGAGAAAAAATAAGGATTATAAAAAGGATTATTTGATTTTATCTTCAAATTATCAGAAAAAGCTTGGTAAGTAACAACAAATAGAAACATTTTTAAACACTGACTGGGTTGGTCGGATTCACCAGTTTCTTCAGTTAACCGAAATCAACAACCCTATACATGACTATTAGAGCTAGGAATTTTAAAAAAGCTGGGACCGGGTAACGGGTTCTGAAGATCGACCGGGAGAGACACGGACCGGGAACCGGGAAAACCCGTTCCCGGTTTCAACCCGGTTGCTTCTAAAAAACCGGGAAAAAGGACCCGGAAACCGGGTCCCGATCCCGTTCCTATCTCTAATGACTATACGTTATTTTAGAGATATTTTATCTTTACCACTAAAACTAAGGCGAATAATGATGTGTTTAAATAAAAGTTTCTTTGCGTCCTGCGACAGAAAATAACATTCAAATGAAGGAGAGAAAAATCGCCCGCGAGTTTCTTATCATTTTTCTTATATCGTTTTTCTTATATGTATATACAAGATATCGCACGCGTCTTGATACAGGGAGTGTCGCAGATGCGCGCGATAGCTTACAGATAAAATGTAATTTGATGTTGGAGTTGGAGTCAGAAAATAACAAAAAATCCTATCAACTTTCCCCTCTTATCATTCAAAACTAATCTAAAAACAAATTATTTAAAGATGCGCAATCATATTGTCTAACAAAATTTTTGTTCAACAAATACGGGGAAAGTTATTTTAGTTACAATATTGTTCCAAATTTAAACAGATGTTCAAACGAAGGTCTTGTAATTATGAATCGTTATAGTATTCGTAATAATGATAAATTAAATGTATTTCGATGGAATATAGTGAATAAAAACCCTATAAAAGAATTAAGTTTTAAGGAAAACACTGAAGAATTTATTCAACTTGATCGGTGCAATAAAATTTTCGAAATTAAGAGGTTATTCGAAATTAAGAGTTATAAGCCTTCAATTTGGTAAAGTCATAAAAGTCTTAAAATATTATCAGGGCAAACACAGCCCATAAAAATAAAGTCTTGACATTGAGTAAAAAATACATAGAGTCAATTTCTCTCACAAAGGAGAGTGTTTTGTGTGTCCGTGGGACTTCGGGATGAAATTTGGTAGACAGGTAGATTGCCAAATTTGAACCATTTTTGCAAAATGGTACCGGGGACCGAGTTATAAGCCTTCAAAATTTTAAGCGAGGCAATCCATCTGGGTCCAGGTCCTATAACTCAAGAAGTGATGGATACATTTTAATGTTCTTGATACCTTTGGATAGAAAATTAAATATACTACAAGATCGAGTTACAAACAGTGGTTGGAAGCTCGTACCAAAATTCGTGAAATCGAGTAGAGCAAAAAAATGGACAGACCCAGCTCGACTAGCCCTTTCGATTGACATATAATTTGTCCCAATCAGAGTCTGTTTAGTATTCCGAAATTATACCGAAAAAAATAAGGTCTGTACGAAGGTTGAGTACGAGTAAATTTCAAAATTCCAACCACTGGTTATAAGCTTAGTTTTGCAAAAATGTTCTGATGGAGCTTACAAACTGTTAAATTAAAATTAATTAAATTTCTAATTAAAAATCAACGGAGTCCGCAGAGAAATCACCCAAATCTTAACAGGAGCCTTAACTCTTAAACTACCTATTTTTATACTTAGTTGCTATGAAAAGGATGCAGATGGAGCTAAAGTTTTCAACTTTTCGAAACTTTACAAAAGATTCAATTCAGCACAACTATTTTTGAAAAATTTTCCAACAAGTAAATTCTAAATTTCCGGATTTTTCTTAATAAAATTTTTCGTCAATCTTAAAGATATTTTTAAGAAGGAGGAGATTACTCGAATTACTAAGCAATTTCTTTACCTTAAAGATATGAAATGTAATGATTGTTTAGAGGATTTTGAATTTGGCGAGAATGTTATAAAGCTTAAATGCAAAGTTTTTATTTAAATAATATTATTATTGAGAATCTCTTATATTTTAGCACATATTCCACAAGAATTGTCTTAAAAAATGGTAGGTATAATAACGATAAGTCTTAGTTGAGGAAGAGATAATGATTATTCTAAAAGAATAATACTTGAAATAAACATTACCCGAGAGTTTCTGTTCAGGGTTGGAGGCCCAATCCCAAAGGTCGAGTCGGGCATCGAATTTTGGCTCGAAAACGACTCGATGCTCGATTCGATAAAAATGAGGCCCGAGAAAATGACTCGAAAGTCGGCCCCACTCGAAAACCCCAACCCTACTTCTGTTTAAATACAGATTCCTGATATCCAGTTATTTTCTTGGAATTACCAAACTTAGTCTGTAGAGAGAAGAACATACCGTATTTACTGTATTAGAGCCCCATGGGGCTCTATTTTTCAACTATCCCGAAAAGGGGGGCTTTATTAAGGAGGGGGGCTCTAATTCAGACGGGGGGCTCTATTTTTCAACCTATTTTTTCAAATTAAGCAACAGGTTTTTCAAATTTATTTACAACCTAACTTTTGAACTAAAAATTTTAGCACAAAAAGTTAATAGGAAAAATTGATATTGCATGCAATATTTTCTCTTTTCTCCAAATTCAGGGTTTAAAAGTAATATCGAGGAATGTGGGATAAGAAGTATAACTGGTAATTTGTGAGGATTGAGGCATATAAGTGGATCAGGGGTTAAGAATTATATGAAGTAGGTGGATTAATTGATATAACAGGAAATTATTTAATAAGAATCTAGGGAGATATCGAGGAATTGGGACATTTTTATAAAAAGACATTTGCATAATTAAATTTTCGACCCCAAAATCAGCCTGATCCACCATACGGTTTTATCTTGATGATAAAATTTGTTAGAGAATTTAAAATTACCGCAGCTGCGGATATCATCGAGTTCTGGGTCGATTTATTTATAATCGGGTTGACTCTCAGCTCGGGGTTCTATTACCCGAGTAAGAGAACTTGTTAAATTTACCAAAGTTTTTCTACCCCATTTTTATAATACGATGTCTACCGATATCCACGTTAAACCTCCGATATCCTCTTTTCATCCTTCGATATATGATAACACGGTATATCCCCTAAATCAATCGATATATGATTTAATTTCTTAGAACCTGCAATTTTAATTTTAAAATCTGCAAACGCAATCGTCAATTGCGGAAGCCCTGTTCACCAGTCATTACTAATTTTCTCGCTAATTTATATAATCGGTATTTTTTATCGGTCGGGATCCAGATACCGCTCACCCTATTAAAAACAAATCAATGTATAACAGACTAGGTTGTAAATTATTTATTTTACATCTGATAAAAAAGGGGGGCTCTGTTAAAGAGGGGGGCTCTAATACAGACGGGGGGCTCTATTTTTCAACCACTCTCCAAAAGGGGGCTTTATTAAGGAGGGGGGCACTAATTCGGAGGGGGGCTATAATACAGGAAATACGGTATTTTAAGGGGCCTTATTTAGATGGATGCAGAGAGGTGTTTTTCAATCGTTCTTCAGAACTGTCCTATCTGGGTCGCTATTTTAGAGGGAAACTATTTTAGAAAATTTATGGTACATACCGTATACTCTATTAATTACCTCCCTCAAATAATTACCCCGATTCTATTAATTACCCTTTACAGAGAGGGGCCGAAACTATAATTACCCAGGGTAATTAATAGAGTATATAATTAACAGAGTATTAATTTAAAAATTAATTTTTCAATTTAGGTTAATTGAAGGAAAAAAGAACAATTGTCCTTTTTGTCACTACGAGCTTAACAATCTTTCTCAAATCAAATTAAAGTTAACAATTGAAGGTAAAAGGAAAGAAAATATTATTAATACGGTCAAACCTCGAATTTATAAACCACTTTTGGCTTTGTATCTTATAACGAGAGGAGTAATTTAACCCCAATCACGACACTTGCAGACCCAACATTTGCAGACCCAACATTTGCAGATAATATTGGCACGACTATTGCAGATCTGACTTTTGCAGATTAGACCTATTTCGCTCTCTTCTTAGATCCACCCAATACAGGTTGGTAAAAATCGGATTTGAGAAATGGGACTACCCAGAAGACCTAGAATAACATTATATCTGCAATTGTTCGTCTGCAAATGTCGGTCTGTAAAAGTCGTCAGCAAGTGTCGGTTCTGCAAATGTCATATCCGCAAGTGTTGTGACACGATTTAAATTCGAGGTCCGACTGTAAAAGATTCCCATTACTTTCAATTTTAAGAGTTTAATGTAAACGGGGTTACTTTAATTAATGATCAATTGCATTATCTTGAAGTAGAGGAATGTTCTTTATGTTTAGGGAATTATAAAATTGAAGAAAATGTTATGCTGCTTGATTGCAAAGTTTTTAAATATTTTTTACAGACAATCTATTTTATATTTTAGCATATATTTCACGCAGGTTGTCTTAAAAAATGGTAGGATTAATCTTTTTAAAAAATATTACCAACTTTTTTTCTAATAATAAATATTCATAATAATGAATTTTTCAAATTCAAACTGATTAATTCTCCTTTTATTCGTCTTTTACATTTAAAAAATTAATTTTTAATTAATTCATACTTTGATAGCCTGGGCCAATAGGAATTGAAAAAATTTGGTTCCCCCTCCGGGGGTTTTCAAAATCTTTTTGGAGGCGGGCTCCAGAGCTAGCTCCAGGAACCATACCCAACACTGCACCCTAGATACATTCTATTCTGTCTCACATATTCGGCGCTTAGTCATATTCCTATGTACGCAACCTATTGTATTTTTTATTGAAGATAAAGCAGCTGTTAGTTACTGTCTTATCTTGATGTTATTCTTGTTAGTACGTAGACATACAAGTCACGTACATAACATATTCCAATCCAAGGTATAACATTTGGGGCCTCTGAGTGTCATAGAGATCGCCCAATGGAGAATTACTTTGCGGTTAAAAATCTTGTCTTTTCCCACAAGCGTATCTTGAATTATATCTAATATGGGGGTATCCTATAGTGAGTTCCGTCTGTGGTTTGCTTCATTTAAGGATAACTTTTTATTTTAGGCTAATTGGTAAAAGACAGAAAACGTGCCCTTTTTGTCGATACGAGCTTAGTGATGACAAACTTTCTGAAATTAGAAAACGGTTGGAAAGTATACCAACACAGAACGAAACGACGGAAGGTGTTGCGGAAACACAAAATCAAAATTAACCAAAAGAAAGTAAAGTAATAATATTTTTTCAAAAATTTAAATTTTATGAAAAACTCTCGCCAGTAGTTGCAAGGCGGGGTTGTGGCCACTCATCTATCGCATACCGCTTCTGGTTTTTTCGGCATTTCGCTTAGCAGCTTGTGTTTATTTATTAAAATTGTTTCGAAAATCCCTCCTGCAAATCAGCAATGTTCGATGCTTGCACCAAAATTCGTGCACGTACCTGTCTATGATATAAAAAAGATAGGCTGGTACGTGCATAAGGACAAAATAAGGCTTGTACTAGAAGGGCAGGTTTTAAATTTCCATACACTTAATGGTGTCGGTAAAAAAGTTTATTATTTAAAAAGAGGTGCGCTTTAAAACCCATACAAAATTATTAGAGAGCGAGCTGGATCCGGATCCAGACCTTGATTTTTCCTGGATCCAGAGTCCAGATCAAGGCATTTTTCAGCGTTCCTTGATTTTTCCTTGACTCAAGGTCAAGAAGCTGGTCAAGGTACCCAATCGAAATCAAGGTCAAGGATCAAGGTTTTTTGAAAATCTCGCTCTCTAAAAATTATCTAGTATTAAAAATTAGAAAAGTAATCTTAGACACTCCAAACCCATTTAACAAATTAAAAATAAATTTATTTAGATGTGGAGAAGAAATCAACAAAGAACGGTAAAAAAGTGAAGTAAACATTTAACTAAAGATTGACATTATTCCGATTGTATTTAAATTAAATTTGACACAAATCTGCCATTTTTAATCGTTCTATTCATGTACATATTATTATCACTTTTTATTTAAAAATT